CCTGGGACAGCCTGGGGAGGAGGGACCCGCTGTCCCCATGGGGTGATGCCCACCCTGTCCTGGGACAGCCTGGGGAGGAGGGACCTGCTGTCCCCATGGGGTGATGCCCACCCTGTCCTGGGACAGCCTGGGGAGGAGGGACCTGCTGTCCCCATGGGGTGATGCCCACCCTGTCCTGGGACAGCCTGGGGAGGAGGGACCTGCTGTCCCCATGGGGTGATGCCCACCCTGTCCTGGGACAGCCTGGGGAGGAGGGACCTGCTGTCCCCATGGGGTGATGCCCACCCTGTCCTGGGACAGCCTGGGGAGGAGGGACCCGCTGGCCCCATGGGGTGATGCCCACCCTGTCCTGGGACAGCCTGGGGAGGAGGGACCTGCTGTCCCCATGGGGTGATGCCCACCCTGTCCTGGGACAGCCTGGGGAGGAGGGACCTGCTGTCCCCACGGGGTGATGCCCACCCTGTCCTGGATCAGCCTGGGGAGGAGGGACCCGCTGTCCCCAAGGGGTGATGCCCACCCTGTCCTGGGACAGCCTGGGGAGGAGGGACCCACTGTCCCCAAGGGGTGATGCCCACCCTGTCCATCCTGGGATAGCTCAGGTAAGGGAGACCCCCACCCAGAGGCAGGTCCTGGGACAGATGGGGACAGTTATCCCAGCTGGGATGGTCCCGGGACAGCTGGGGACATTGTCCCAGCTGGAATGGTCCTGGAGCCACCATCCCAGTTGGATGCTGTGTGTCCCCAGCAGGTCCTGGGGGTGACATCCCACCCACTGTCCCCATAGGGGGTCCCAGGACACCACAAGTGTCACCACCGCACACATCTGGTAGGTGTTCCTTATTCACTTGTCAGCAGTCAGCTTTGGGCCTGGGGTACCAAAATGACACTTGTCTGACCTCACTACCTCACTAAAAGGACTAGAATTTGACCTTGGGGATTGTGGAAATACAGACAAACTGGGTACAAGTGCTGGGACTTGAAGGGGCTTTTAGCTGAGCCATCATTTCCCCAATTAAAACAAAAAGAAAAAGAGCTTTTTTTTTTCCTCAAATGGGAAGCTGGGAGTTTCCCTGCCCGTGTGTTGCTGGCAGCTGTGGGGACAGTGCTGAGGGACACCCTGCAGCTTCCACAGCAGGGAAGGAGGAACTGTCAACAGTCACTGTTTCCCAGTAAGGATGTGGGTGCATGGCACAGAGGAGTGATGTTGACTCATTATCCATGGCCTCAGTGAGGAAACGTCTGTCTGTCCAGAAGTCAGCCCAGCCAAGCATGATGACTTTATAATTATCTGCGTGTTGCTTTCATTTTCTCTTTCAGGTTTCTGTTTGAGCAGAAGCCAGAGCTGCCTGGAAAAGGGCTTTGTTCGGGAAACTCAGAGAAGGGCAGAGAAGTTGAGCTTAGAACTCAACCTGGGTTGCAATTCTGGGTAGCAAGCACATGAAAGGAAAGTCTGGCCCAGCAGTCAGAGTGGAAAACCTGGTGGGAGGGTTGTCAAGATTTAATCAGAGCCTTGTAATAGCCTCCCTATGCAAATGGGTTAACCTGGCTCAGGTTGCCCTTTTCACGGTGCTGTGTAAGGGCTTGGTTCTTCAGAGGGCAATGTTAATAGCTCCTTTCTGAAGCAAAACTGAGTGTGGGATCTTGATATTTCAGCAGCGCTGGGGATAAGATCAGGGAGATAGAGCAGGTTGTGCTGCCCAGGGAGCAATAGCAGAGGGAATGCCCCTGCTGTTAACCAGCCAGAGAAAATCCAGTTCCTGCTCACTGAAATCTCAGCTCTCTGCCTGCTGTGATGTTTATCTGTGCTCAGGTGTGAACGCCACGTACCTCACCCAGGCTGTGGGGTTTGGAGGAGCCAACCCCAGCGCGGCCCGGAGGGCGTTGCCTCTGTCACAGTGACCCAGTCTGGTCCTGCCGTGGCTTTGGGGGATTTGGGCAGAGCTGTGTCATGCACAGGTCTCCCTGGGAGCTCCAGCCTCCTCCCTGGTTAGCAAGCCATGCATGGGCAGCCTCCCTCGAGCTGCCCAGTAGAAGGAAGAAGTGACTGTGGGGCTGACCTGGCAGCGTGTGGCTCCGTGTCGTGGACCAGGAGCTGCTGGCGTGTCTGTAGCACTTGAACAAAGGCTGTTTGGAACCAGCCCTCTGGCAGGGAGGGGGATTAATCTCTCTATTCATTCTTCCCAGCGAGCTGGTGTCGCTGTGCTGCTGTAAAACCAGGGGATGAATTATTCACAGTGGGTTTCCCCACCGTGGTGGTGCCCGTGCGTGGAGCCAGGGGGGCTCAGCCCTGCTCAGCACCCAGTGCCACCCACCACCCAGGTGCTGCTGGACAAGCCCTGTGCCACCCACCCAGCACCTTGTCCCTTCCACACGTTCCACAGCCTTTCCTAAATGAAGGAGCTTGGTTTTGCTGCCAGGGAGGAGGAGGAGCAGCACAACACTGGTGTGTGTTGCCATGGAAACGGTGGTCAATTGATGCACCATCAACTGCAATACAAATAATTTTCTATGTTTGCAGCTTCCCCCCCCCCATTGCTACACTCAGGGCTCTGCTGCCCAGGGTCTGTCATCCTGCATCTCTCCCAGAAGCTTAGGAGAATAACAGAACCTTAAAGGAGTGTGGGCTGAGCTCGGTGAAAGAGGCTGGAGGCAGCTGGTGAGGCTCTGACTCCTGCAGGAGGAGGCATGGAGGCAGTTCCTGGCCATCCAAGGAGTGGGCTGGGAAGGGTGCTGTGCCATTCCTGGCTCTCACTGCCCTTGCTTCGTGGGGAAAAGGCAGAGCTTCCCTTTTTGTCTCCTGGGATTGAGCCTGGAAGCAGCTGTTTGTCCCAGGTTAGGGGAGGAGGGGGTGTGTGTTGGCCATCCACATCCTGCTGTGGTTCATCCTGGGCACTTGGCTTCAACAGCCTCTTTCTAGTTGACCCTAAACTCAGAGACATGTTATTTCTTTCCCTCACTTTCCCTAACAACCAACCACTTCCTTTCTTTCCCCACAGCTTTGGGGATGTTTGTCATTTCAGCTCTAGGAATAAAATACAAACAGCAAGGATGTTCATTTCTCACAGGATTTGCTCCAGTGTCTAAAAAAAAACCCCAAAAAAGCCAACAACCAACCCTATATCTCTAGTGAGGGGTTAATTTGGAGCACAGGGTTGCTCAATATATTACACTGAGCTTTCCTAGCCTGCTGTGATGTGTCACAACACAGCTGGGCAGATGAAGCTGCTTCTCTTCTTGCCAGGGGTCGGTCTTTGCCTGCAAGATTGTGGCAGGGTGGGGATGCTCAGCAGTATCTTCCCTAGACAGGATACATGGGAGTGGGCTAAGCTGGTCCCTCCCAGGCCGTTTTTATCCCATCTCTCCTGGAATACTGGCCCCAGCTCAGGGTGGCTGCTGGGCCCAGGGAGGTTGTTTCTTTGGCGATCGTGCCGTAGCCTGGCAGGGTGAAGTTGCTCAGACTCCCACGGGATGTGAATCATTGTGGTGTGACACATTCAGTGGTTCTCACGCTGCTGCCTCTTGAGAAGAGGCAATACAACTCGAGCTACACAAGCTCTAAATATAAAACCTGAAAGAGGAGTTATTCTCCTCCTGGCCACAGGCAGAATTACTGGGGATGAACAACAAAAACCCCCTTTGCCATGTGGGTGTCACAGAACTCGGAAGGAGCTCAGTTCAGCCCCTACCAGTGGAAACAGCCTCACCCTCCCTGAGTGTGAGTGAGTTTTCCTGTCACGGTGCTTGGTGAGGCTGCCCAGACTTGTGTGTACCCAGGACACTTCCTTCTGGAGCTGATGTCAGACAAGGGAGCAGGCTGAGTCTGGCCTCCCTCTCTTGCTCATTTGGTTGGTTTTTCTCAAGTTTTGGGGCACTCCAGGGGCAGAGCCTTGTTCTTCACTTCTCTTTAAAAAGGTTATTCTGTGGAGATCAACAAGAGCTTGTTTCTTGAGGTAGCTGCATGTGGAAACACCTCTTGTTCCACTGTTTTAGAATCATTTGGTTAATAGAAGTGCCCAGGACAACCTCAGATTTCCTGGACTCCTCTGAGCCCTATGACATCCACTCACATGCCTGCTCTAAGGAGTTGGGGTTTAGCCACAGGAAAGAGCACCAGGAGCTGGGGAAGGGTCTGGAGCACAAGCCTTATGAGGAGCATCTGAGGGAGCTGGGGGTGTTCATCCTGGAGAAAAGGAGGCTGAGGGCAGACCTGCTTGCTCTGGACAACTGCCTGAGAGGAGGTTGGAGTAGGGGGGTCAGTCTCTTTTCCCAAGGAACAAGTGATAGGGCAAGAGGAAATGGTCTCAAGTTTCACCAGGGGATGTTTAGATTGGACATTAAAAGCAACTTCTTCACTGAAAGGGAAATTAAACACTGGCCCAGGCTGCCCAGGGAGGTGGTTGGATCCCCATCCCTGGAGGTGTTCAGAAGCCATGTAGACGTGGTGCTGAGAGACATGGGTTAGATCTGGGGTTGGTGGAACTGGGTTAGGGTTGGACTTGATCATCTTAAAGGTCTTTTCCAACCAGAACAACTCAGTGATTGAACAGCAGGCTGTGAGCTGGGCACACCGGGCAGGACTGATCTGGTCTGTGCGAGTTGAGAGCGAGAACTGGCAGCAGTTCCTGAGGAGAACAGCAGTGCCTGAGCTGCCTGCAGCAGAGATGTCTGCCCCCAGTGAGCCCTGCTGAGATTCAGGCCCTGCAGGAACCACCTGTGGGGCCAGCAGGCTGCAAGAGGGAGAGTGACCTGAAATGCTGGGATGGGAGAGGGGACTGAGCTGCCTCAGGGGCCAGCACGGCTGCAGCTCCTGGGGCCACAGCACGGGTGGCTCAGCACAACAGCTCCTCAACCAGCTGCTCCCAGCAGAGCAGCTCAGGCAGTGACACCTCCCATGCCACCCTGGGCTGAATTAAAAGGATCATCCTGACTGACATTTCCCTGTCGCTGGGATCACTCTGCCTTTCCCTGCCCCCCCCCTCCCCGTGTCTTTCCCTCTCCAGTTACGCCGTGATCGCCTACGGCTGCGCCCGCTGCCCCCAGCTGACCTGTGAGAGGGATGGGTGCCAGACTGAGTTCTGCTACCACTGCAAGCAGATCTGGCACCCCAACCAGACGTGTGACATGGCGCGGCAGCAGCGCGCCCAGGCGCTCCGCGTGCGGACCAAGCACACCTCGGGGCTCAGCTACGGGCAGGAGGCTGGGCCAGGTATGGACTCACACTTCTTTTTCTGGGCTTGACTCGGTGCTGCCGTTATGTCTGTGAAGTGGTGAAAGGCCACTTGGGTGTAAAAGCCCATCCAGGCAAAGCTGAGGGTGTTGGTGCCCCGTGGGAGGTGTTGCTGGCGCAGCATGGGGGAAACCCCAAGTCATTTCCCCTCCTCCTGTGCCCTGGAACACACCAGGCAGTCATAAAAGGGTTAGAAGGGGCTTCTGAAAATCATCAAGTCCAATCCCCTGCCAGAGCAGGACCACCTGGGGCAGGTCACAAAGAAATGCTTCCAGATGGGCCTTGGAAGTCTCCAGAGAAGGAGCCTCCCCAGCCTCTCTGGGCAGCCTGGCCCAGGGCTCCATCACACTCACCCTGAAGAAGTTCTTCCTCATGCTGAGGTGGAACTAAACAACCCAAACTAAACAGCCCCAGGACTCTCAGCCTTTCCTCATAAGACAGATGTTCCTGTCCATCATTCTTGTAGCCCCTGATGGACTTTCCCTGGTATATCCCTGTCCCTCTGGAACTGGGGAGCCCAGAACTGGACACAACACTCCAGCTGTGGCCTCACTAGGGCAGCGTAGAGGGGCAGGAGAACCTCCCTCGACCTGCTGGACACACTCTTCTTCATGCACCCCAGGATACCATTGGTTTTCTTGGCCACAAGAACACTCTGCTGTCCCATGGATCACTTACCCAGCGGGCTCCTCCAAGAACCCATCAGGAGGTGATGATGTGCTTTGGGTCCCTCCACAGCACAGCAGCTCCCCTTACCCACTCTGCTTAGGCTTGTGGCTGCTTTGATCTTGGATGTTCTCGCTTCTTGCTGATCTAAACCCTGAACAAATAGGTACTTTTTGAGCCTTGCAGCTCCTCCAGTTTGCCTGCTGCGATGGTGAAGAGTCACATTCATGCCCAGCTGAGTGTGGGGAGCCTCTCTCTGGGCACTGTTAGGTGTTTGTAATGTCAGGCACAGAAAAAAATGCCAACCCACAGACTCCTACACTGCCTGGTAGGAGCTGCTGTGTCTGCTGAGTTAGAGTTTGTGAATAATAACTGTATTGACTCTGGAAATGGGCACTGAGGCCAGTTCACACAGTCCTGCCCTACCCCCAAAAAAAACACCCTGCTTGGCTGTCTGTCTCAGGAGTTAAAATGTTAGAATGGAGCTGCCCTGGGTGGTTCAGGGATGGCTTAGTGCTGTGTCAAGGCTCAACATGCCCCAGTTAGAGGTCCCTGGTAATGGACAGCACAGATGCTGTCACAGCCTGTGGTACAAACCAGCAAGAAAAAAACAGAGCATCTGAGCTTTTACACCCCATTAAAGGAGGGCCCTGCCAGGAAGAGCTTTGCACTTCACCACTGAATGGGAGGTTCTTCAGACAGTGGTTTTTCCCCACCCCGTTCTTGCTGGATTCAATGTGGTGATTAATAATGTGTGAGCTGGTCTCAGCAGCTGGATTGCACCCTCTGGAGCACTGCAGGGGCTGCCAGGAGGGCCCTGAGCTGCTGCCCAGCCACAGCCCCACTGCCACCAGCTGCCACTGGGGTTAAGGAAGAGGTGAAGGAGCCTTATCCTGCTCTGCCAGCACCAAACTGGGGACTGGGCAGCCTCTGCACTGAGTGGCTGCAGCCCCCGTGCCCCTTTTT